GGGTAGAGGTTGGCTTAGCAGCACCTCGTGATAAGCGGCCTCGAGGGGAAGGTGGCCTCTGGGCGTACCCACTGGGTCCCAGTGGAACTCGACCTAGCCTTAGAGTCTCACCTGGGTGTCCCCACTCAGAGCATGTCAGGCCTGCAGCTACTAGTTGTGGTCTGTGGGGCTTACTTCTGTGTTTGGAGGAGGGCACGTTGGCTCTGACTTCACCTCTACAGGCCTAGAAGCCCCAGACTTGGCATTTAGGGGGGGCTGTCATGATGTACACCCATGGTTTTGCTCCAATCTGGGATTACATGGGGTCTGTTGGAACAGAATCATTGGTGTTCAAGGTGCTTTTTAAAAAATCCCAAAACATTCCTCTTGGAATCTTCTGTTTCCTAGTTCTGTCCAGCTTAGCATCAGGTCCATAAAAAAAAAAAAAATCTTTTTGAGATTTTGCTGCTGTTTTCAGGGGATGTGTGTGTCAGAATAAAACAGAACTGGGAGAGGAAGGAAAGGAGAGGGAGAGGGAAATCGAGAAAATCAGATGCAACTGTGTCAACAGTACAAGTTGCTGAGAGGAGGCTGGAGGACCTTCCCCTCTCCGAAGATGCTGTCCCCTTTGTGGGCTGGTGGCAGCACTTGCTGGCCACAGAGCTGGGAGAGCTTCCAATCCTTCCTCCTCCTCTGCATTTCCGCTTCTCAGCACCCCCTGAGCATTCCTCATGCTCAGAGGGCCGCCAGAGCTCCCAGGTGTGTATCCGGAGCAGAGCCCAAACAGTGCTGCTCTGTGTAGGCCCCGGCCTCAGTGCCGCCTTATCAAAGCCCTAGTGATTCTGGGTACTGCAGGCAGGGGCGACTTGGCCTGCACACCCCTCCTGTGCCCTTCCCCCACTAGGAGTGAGGCTGTCCTAGTGCTGGGCAGAGATCTCCCACTGGGGGGCCCCGAAAAGCATGTGGGCACTTGCCGGTGTATGGTCCATGCCTCAGAGAACTGGCTTCACCCATTCCATCTCCAGATGAGAGCTTGGCTTCTAGTAGGAGAGTCAGGAAGGCCTAGGCAAGGCGGGGTGTGAAGGTGGGGACATCAGTGGACATGAGGGATTTGAACAGCAGAGCTTCTAAATGCCATCGCAGATGTGGTTGGGAGCTTCAGACCACTGAGTCAGAAGGTCGCAGGACCGTGGAATCATCTCTCTGTGCCCCTGCATTTGTCAGGGGCCTCCCCTGAAGACGTTAGCGGCAAAATCTGTGTAAGGAATGTGGCCAGGTGCTCATCTTTGAGGGTGAAAGGGAAGCGGGCAGCTGGGGAGAATACGGATCTGATTCTAAAACTCCTAAAACAGTGAGAAGTGGTCCCCTTCCCCACCCCGAGATAGAGTCTGCTGTGGCAGCTTTCAAAAGAGAGTCTAAACGTGCTGACTTTGGAGTTTGTTAAAAGGAAGGAAAAGAGTGTCAGGAGGCTAAGCCTTCATCAGTCCAAAGTTATCCCCTTGTCCCCAGGTATCCGAACAAGTCCACGCTGTTGTGTCCCCCTGCCACAAACTCTGCTCACCCAAGCTCGTCCCCCTGCCCCCTTCCACTTTACCTCCCTTCTGCCAAGGAGGCTCCAGAGAGAGAGAGTCCTTGAGGAACCTGAAAGCTACTAGCAGCCAGCTCTGTCACCGAGCTATGTGTAATTGGGCACCTCGTTTTACCTCTCTGGGCCTCAGCTTCCCCATCTCTAATGTAGTCCCCGAGGCTCTTTTTAACAATGGTCATTAAGTCCTGCTTCCATGGAAGTGAACATTGTCTGTCAAATGTGTGTTTCCCCGCAAACTCCTGATTTGGAATGTGGTCTACAGGCTGTCTCAGCTGGGTTAGAGAGGCTACCCCCACATTTAGAGATGGGGCAGTTCAGACAGGTAACAGCTTTTCCTACAGCCTTTGTCTGTGGAGGCACTTTTAATTTGTGAAGACCTGTAACTATAAACATCCCGTGTACCAAGCAGGGCTGCTATGATCTATATTTTGCAGACTGACAGACAAAATGGGGCCCAGAAAAGTTAAGTCCTTCCCCAAGGATCCCTGGTCCCTGGTGATTAAATTCATATAAATTAGTAGAAAGAGCACCAGTCTGAAGCCAAATAACCTGACCTTGAAAAAGTCACTAGAGTCCCTAGGCCCCAATTTCCTGTCTGTAAAGTGGCAATAATAATGATTGCAAGGTCATACGAAATAATGGAGGGGAAAACAGTTTGCAAATGTGTACAGGCATACCTTGTTTTATTGTGCTTTGCAAATATTGCGTTTTTTACAAATTGAACATTTGTGGCAACTCTGGCTCGAGCAAGTCTGCTGGTGCCATTTTTCCAACAGCATTTACTCACTTCATGTCCCTGTGTCACATTTTGGTAATTCTCCCAATATTTCAAACTTTTTCATTATTACTGCATTTGTTATGGTGATCTGTGATCAGTGATTTGCGATATTACTATTGTAATTGTTTTGGGATGCCATGAACTGCACCCATATAAGATAGCCATTCCCGTTTCCTTCCCTCTCCTTGGGCCTCCCTATTCCCTGAGACACAACAGTAGTGAAATTAGGTCAATTAATGACCTGAAAATGACCTCTAAGTGTTCAAGTGAAAGGAAGAATTACACATCTCTCATTTTAAGTCAAAAATTAGAAATGATTAACCTTAGTGAGAAAGGCATGTCGAAAGCTGAGATAAGCCGCATGAATCAAACAGTAAGCCAGGCTGAGAAAGTGAAGAAAAAGTTCTTGAAGGAAATTAGAAATGCTACTCCAACGAAACATGAATGATAAAAAAGTGAAACAGCCTTATTACTGATATGGAGAAAGTTTTAGAAGTTGGAGAGAAGATCAAACCAGCCACAACATTCCCTTAAGCCGAAGCCTAATCCAGAGCAAGGCCCTAACTCTCCCCAATTCTGTGAAGGCTGAGAGAGGTGAGGAAGCTGTAGAAGAAATGTTCGAAGCTGGTTCGTAAGGTTTAAGGAAAGATGCTGTCTTCATGACATAAAAGTATGAAGTGAAACAGCCAGTGCTGATTTAAAAGTTACAGCAAGTTATCCAGAAGATCTGGCTAAGATAATTAATGAAGGTGGCTGCACTAAACAACAGATTTTCAATGTGGGTGAAAATAGCCTTTTATTGGGAAAAGATGTCATCTAGGAGTTCCACAGCTAGAGAAGTCAGTGCCTTGCTTCAAAGCTTCAAAGGACAGGTCGACTCACTTGTTAGGGGCTAATGCAGCTTTAAGTTGCATTAATGTAACTTTAAGTTGAAGCCAGTGCTTATTTACCATTCTGAAAAATCATAGGGCCCTAAAGAGTTATGTAAAGTCTACTCTGCCTGTGCTCTATACATAGAACAACAAAGCCTAGATGATGGTACATCTCTTTATATCATGGTTTACTGAATATTTTTAAGCCCCCTGCTGAGACCTATTGCTCAGAAAAAATGTCTTTCAAAATATTATGGTTCACTGTCGGTGCACCTGGTCACCAAGGGCTCTGATGGAGATGTACAATGAGATGAATGTTGTTTCCATGCCTGATGCTAACACAACATCCATTCTACAGCCCATGGATCAAGGAGTAATTTCAACTTTCAAGTTTGTTTTATTATTTAAGAAATACATTTTGTAAGGCAATAGCTGCCATAGATAGTGATTCTCTGATGGATCTAAGCAAAGTAAATTGAAAACCTGGAAAGGATTCACCATTCTATTTTTTTATTATTTATTATTATTTATGCCTATAGCACCTGATCTTCCTAGGTGGTCTCCCATCCAAGTACTAACCAGGCTCGACCCTGCTTAGCTTTCGAGATCAGACATCGGGCTTGTTCAGGGTGGCATGGCCATAGACCATGGACCATGGCTCCACTAGAGCATGAACCCAGGACCTTCTGCATGTAAAGCAGACGTGCTAACCACTACACTATGGAACCATGTCCAGGATTCACCATTCTATATGCCATTAAGAACATTTGTGATTAATGGGAAGAGGTCAACATATCAACATTAACAAGAGTTTGGAAAAAGTTGATTCCAACTCTCATGGATGACTGAGGAATTCAGGACTTCGTGAGGAAGTAACTACAGATGTGGTTGAAATAGCAAGAGAACTAGAATTAAGAGTGGAGCCTGAAGATGTGACCGAATTGCTTCAATCTTATGATAAAACTTTAAAGGATAAGGAATTGCTTCTAATGGATGAGCAAAGAAAGTGGTTTCTTTAGTGGAAACCACTCTTGAAGTGGAATCTACTCCTGAAGATTGTGAAGATTGTTGAAATGACAACAAAGGATTGAGAATGTTACATAAACTTAGTTGTTAAAGCAGCTGCAGGGTTTGAGAGTATTGACTCCAATTTTGAAAAAAGTTCTGTGGGTAAAATGCTATCAAACAGCATCACATGCTACAGAGAAATCAATGATGAAAGGAAGAGTCAATTGATGTGGCAAACTTTATTTACTTATTTTTTTAAGAGATTTCCATAGCTACCCCAACCTTCAGCAACCACCACACCGATGAGTTAGCAGCCATCAATGTTGAGGCAAGACCCTCCACCAGCAAAAAAATTACAACTCACTGAAGGCTCTGATGATGGTTAGCTTTTTTTTAAATCAATAAAGTATTTCTAAATTAATACATGTACAGTTTCTTAGATATAATGCTTTTGCATACTTAATAGATATGGTATAGTGTAAACATAACTTGTTTTCTCAGTATATACACTGAGAAATCAAAACACTTGTGTGACTTGCTTTATTGCGAGATTCACTTTATCGCAGAGATTTGGAACTGAACCGAGGCATGCCTCTAAAGCCCTTGTTAACTTTCACCATTTGTGGTGGCAGGTAGAGCAGGGTGTTGTTCTCATGTTCTCTCACCCTCCGCTACTCTCTCGCATGTTCTTCCCTCCTGGGGCTAAATGGATTCTCCCAAAGTTTTTCTCTGGGAAGCCTGGCCTCTCATTCCCGCTGTGGTTCTTTCCCTCCAGACTGTAAATTCACCTGCCACCCGGAGTGCCGCAATCTGATCCCTGGACTGCACAGGGAGCAGGAAGGCCCATCCCGGAACAGACCGTCTCCAGAAAGCACCCTCACTCCGACCTTCAGCCAGGTAGGCAGCAAGGCTTGAGGACCAGGCTGGGAATAGCCTTTGCAGGTGTCTTGGGCTCCACTGTCTCTCTCAGGAGCTCTGGTGAGCAGGAGGTGGCATGAATATTCCACCTGTGCTAGATCTTGAGGTCTCTGTCTGGCCAGGTGGAGTTCACGGACACACACTCGGATTCTGCACCCAATTCTGATGTGCGCGTGTGGAGTTTTCCCATACTACCAAAGCAATTCTGATACCAGCTGGGCATCTTAATATTCAACCCAATTCTGACACTCTGCATGTGCTCTTCCACCTTCAGAGGCCAATTAAAATTCCAGATTGTCACCTGAGTTTCTACCAACCAGCTATAGATTGGAGGTTACCACCACTCCCTTCTCGGGCTCCATTAATTTGCTGGAGCAGCTCACAAAATTGAGGAAAACATGTTACTTACCAGATCACCGGTTTATTATAAAAAGATATAACAGCCAGATGGAGGAGACGCGTAGGGCAAGGTATGTGGGAAGGGGTGTAGCACTTCCATACCTTCTCCGCACGCACCTCTCCTCCTGAATCTCCACATGTTCACCGACCTGGAAGCTCTCTGAACCCCATTCTTTTGTGTTTTTATGGAGACTTCATTACATAGACATCATTGATTGAATCATTGGCCATTAGTGATTAATTCAGCCTCCAGCCCCATTCCCCTCCTGGAGGTCATGGGGGGTGGAGCTGAAATTTCCAACCTTTTAATCACGTGATAGGTTCTCCTGACAGCTACACCCCATCTTTAGGTGGGGTCCAAAAGTCGCTTCAGTAACATAACAAGAGACACCTTGGTAGCTCTCATCACTTAGGAAATTCCAAGGGTTTTAGGAGCTCTGTGCCTGAAACTGTACAAAGACCAAATATGTATTTCGTATTGTAAATCTCAATATCACACACCCTTTTCCAAAAGACGGAGGGTGGGGGATGGAACAGAAACAGTGATGAAGAGAAGTCTGTAGGTACTTAGAAGTCCCCCACCGAACCTGGTTTGGCCTAGGGCTGTGAGCCGGAGGTGTTGGTATGGGTAGGAGTAATAGGGGTCCTGGAGAAGGCTCCTCAAGCTCCTTTGAGGCCTCATAGCCCTGGGGCAGTGGGGATGTTGGGGCTGCCAGCCAGGCCAGATCAACTTCAGAGGAGCTGGGCATGTGTTCTTTCCCGGTGTTAAAGGACCAGGAAATTGATCCCCAAAGCAGCTCTTGGTTCTGGGCTTTGCCAAGGCGCTTGAACCAGGATGTGTCTGAACTCTGATGTCTAGGATTTGGAAGGGCAACAGGAGAGCATTTTTTTTTTTTTGACTTTTACATCAAACAAGCACTTATTTCTCTACATCTGTGTGCCAAGCACTGATGAGAGTGGGGATAATAAATAATATATCACAGTATTTGTCTTCAGAGAGCTTACATTCTAGAAGAGGAGGCAGAATACAACCAAATAGTATGTATTGTGATGCATGTTGCCATAAAAATATGAATCAAGTGTTTTGAGTACACAGTGCAATTGTTTCTGTTAGGAAAAATCAGGGAGGAAAAAACCAGAGGAGGTGACATTTGATCTGCACCTTAATGTCGAAAGTTGCTGGTCAAGGAAGTAAGTGTCTCA